GTGGGTGTACCTTGGTGCACCCACAATCTAAGGATCCGGATCTCAACAGGGAGCTCGTTCCAGACGGCCGGAGCTGCAACAGAGAAGGCTCTCCCCCGGGGAGTCGCCAGCCGACATTAGCTGGCAGGTGGAATCCGGAGGAGACCCAACCTGTGCGATCTAATTGGTCTGAGAGAGGTAATCGGCAGGAGGCGGTCTCTCAGGTACCCAGGTCCGATGTCATCTTCTTGTGCCCCCCCTTTCCCCCCCCAAATCAACCATGGTCAAATTTAAAAATATTTATAAAATCTTACCTGCATATGAAATACTAAGGAGTTTGCTGCGTTCTAATGGAGGAGCCCAATTAGACCACATGGCATGCATGGCTGGGAACGTTACACCCTGGAAAATATACCGGTACTTGCTTATAATATAATATATATATGTATGTGTAATATACATATCAAAAACAAGATAAAACATTCATCGATAAAATACAATATTTTATTTGAATGAAGTATTTTTTCTTCATTAAATCCTGGGAAAGTACTGGTTATATTAGCATGAAGCCATTGTTTTCAGCACATAACTAAAGAGCAATTAAGCAGAACTAATTTCTTGCTCATCATAGTCCTTCAGATGAAAATGTTTTGTGGACAGTTAGACTGATCACTCAATTTTTGCCAAGTCTTAGCCACCAAAATATTTCTTCTATCTAGACCATAAATATTAATATGTAGTGAAGGGTGATGTAATGTAATCAGGCAATGAAATATTTTTTAATAAAAAAATAACCCTTATTCTTAAATTAAGTTAGACCCCAGTTAGAGTAATGCAGAATTTAAAATGAAAACAATAATGTTTAAGATACAAGAGCATCCAAAGATGCAAAGGGACAATCCATTTTAGGATCAACTTCGAGGGCTCTTCTATAATCAGCTACTAAGAAATTAGTCTTCACTAATTGTTCACTGGGGTGAATATTATGGGTTGAGTCTATTCTGTCACTTTGGATGCCTCTCAAGACAACTAAACAATATTTCATTCTGGCCAACTCTTTTAATGTTTTGCTCTGCTGATACTATTTTTAAAGCTATTCCAATGAGCAGATGTATGTCACTTTATTTATTAATTACATTTTTATGCCTCCCATTTCCTCTGTAAGGTAACTGTGGGCATAATTTTACATCATGAATCTGATTGAATGATTACACCATTTTGTGTTCCAAAATATTGAGAAATGCCTTGAAAACGATTAACTGTGACAAAAAAGAAAGTCCTCCATTAAATACTGTAAGGTATGGATGAAGCTGAAATCTGCCTTTGTGACTTCACTTTGGGTATTTACCGTATTTTCACCCATATAACCCGCGGGTTATATGC